AAAAAATGTGCAAACCTTAAATGGTAGGTCATTTATCACTGAATGCATATAAAATATCATCTCTAAAATTGATACTAAATTTGTTTAGTAACGTTTTGCTTAGTAAAACAGAAATCATAATATTAATAATAGGTTATTTATAACACTAAGACATGAAAAGTATGATGGTAGAAGTTAAAATAAATTAATCAACAGTTTAATGGATATAAAACATACTGAATTTAAGTTACTAATTAAATAGTCGAATCTGACGCCTTATTGTTAAAATAAAGTTATACAAATTATTTTCAAAGCTTTAAGCAGATAAAATGAATAATTTCATGTGGTTTTCGATTGTGATCTAATTCCAAACATCCATTCTGGCATATTAACTTCATATTTCAACAAAATTTTCACGTGATGAAAGACTAGGAGCTAAAGTAGTTTTCCAACACAGTGCTTAGTTTTAAGTTGAAAAATGTCTAAATAGTTAATAAGACTACGAACTATATCTCTAGCTTAAGCTGTTCCTCTTGAGAAAGTTTTATAATTAAGTGTTAGCTTTAGGTCGCTTATAATACGGATAGTTTTACATCATCAGTGACCTTCTTCCCACGTACTGCGGGTAATAGTTCTTGAAAACTAATTCATAATACAATAAAAAGTAAGAAGGTAAAGGGAAGAAGTTGTTAATGATTCGATAAATGACCTTCCTTAAGATGGAAAAGTAGAAAGCAAATGACGTTATAACGTATATGTTTTAGTTCCTATGGAATTAGCATAAACTCAGGAGGTTGGTAGTTGCTTACAGATGTTGTTTTTGTTTTACCCACTAGGGTACTGCAGACAAATTAAAGAAAAATATTATTATTTTTTGAATGACTGGGAACCAATATGAACAGGGTGGAAGAATCCGACCAGTTAGAAAAAGAAAATGGAAGGTAAAGAAATAAGCATGCACAATTTCTAAATAAATAAAAACAGTTCGTTTGTAATTAAGCACAAATCTACACAATAGGATATCTGTGCTCTACCCACCACGGGTTGTAAGGGGAGAAGGGCAAATATAAACAGAAAATGAAAAAAAAATCCATACAAGTAATATAATATAGCTTTAAAACCTAAATAAAAATCATATTTTAGATTTGCAATATTTCATCGTGATTTAATGTGAACTATTTTAGGGATGACTTACAATTTCTTCAGAGTTGACGAAATTACTGACATACAAAAGCGTTGCCCACCAGTTTTTTCTACAATTCTCCGCTTGTACTATAACCATTTCGTCCCAAAATGGACCACGTGACATGATTCTCCAAACAACAGTGAAGGCGATTACCAAGGCGTAAGGTGGTGTAAGTCTGTGCATGTAACATGTGTAAAATAATTTAAAGTTGTTATATGGCTTTAAAATATATTTTTAGATAAATATGTAATAACTACTATGATATTATAGTATGCTATTTTTTTCTTTCTAATAAAATTTAAAACATCAAAAACAGATTTTAACTAAACGTGGTTTTATATTTATCTTTCTCCCTAAGGAGTTAAATTGTACAGTACTGATCAATACATTGAAGAGTCATCGTGCTCCAAAGGAGTTAGATTGTACAGTACTGATCAATACATTGAAGAGTCATCGTGCTCCAAAGGAGTTAGATTGTACAGTACTGATCAATACATTGAAAAGTCATCGTGCTCCAAAGGAGTTAAATTGTACAGTACTGATCAATACATTAGAGAGTCATCGTGCTCCAAAGGAGTTAGATTGTACAGTATTGATCAATACATTGAAGAGTAATCGTGCTCCAAAGGAGTTAGATTGTACAGTACTGATCAATACATTGAAGAGTCATCGTGCTCCAAAGGAGTTAAATTGTACAGTACTGATCAATACATTAGAGAGTCATCGTGCTACAAAGGAGTTAGATAGAACAGTACTGATCAATACATTGGAGAGTCATCGTGCTACAAAGGAGTTAGATAGAACAGTACTGATCAATACATTGGAGAGTCATCGTGCTCTTCGA